ATCATATCGTAGTATGTACCACTTATGCTATCCTTGGCGCAATACTATGTTTACAAACAGGTGGCAAACGTTGGAACAGGACTGACGTAGGTCTATTATACGGCGCACCACCATATGTCTAGAAGAGCAACGAGTTTATGGCTATGAACATTAGAATAGCGCATCGCAATATCATTTGAGGAAACATGCTTTACCAGGCTTCTGTGCGTCGTAGCACATAGCCCAATTACAGGTAGTGTTGCGTGAAGCCTTTCTTAACTGGTTGGCCAAGCAATACACGTGGTGTTACCTAAGTGATTTGGGTTAATACCGGTCCAGCTAATCATTTGGCTACGGTGTACTATGTCCATGACCATGCCGTTTATCAAACTACCACTCCGTCGTGGTAGTTACATTGCCTAACTTAATGACCCAATGCATTGGCTGGGTTTGACATATGTTGGTCGCAGAAGACCCTTCAGAATACCACTTGCACTTCTTTCTCTTCCTTGCTATTTGGAAGTCAGTCAGGTCACGTGTATTAGTGTGCGTCGAAAGCCGGGCGACGTTTGTGTCTAAGTCACCAGCACACGAATACCATAACCTTCGTTTCGTGTGCTTAGCTTCGTCCGTTTGGAGGCTCAGTGTCCACCGAAATGCAAAGAGCAAAGAACGCTCTCATGCTCGCTAAATTTTGACACAGGGTTCAATCAGTTCCGCGCAATTCCTTACAACTAGACAGCGTCCCAGGCCGCTATCCCCGGCAGACTTCAACCATGCCAACGAAAATTAACTCTTACGTCACCCAAATAAAAAAGATAGCAAACTTTAAGGTCTTTCCCAACGGAGCAATAAACAAACCATTTCCAGCAGTTAGTTCAATACAAAATTTGCAACACGCGTTAAGAAGACGAAAACTGGTAGATGCATGCATTTCGTATCGTCTCCTCAGTATCATTAACAATAAACGGTATGCAACTATGTAATTAAATAGGTGTGACCGAATAAGCATGATGCGCAAAGTGAATGACGGATGTTCCACCCCTATGTAGCCGGCAGTATTAAGCTGATAAATAACTGCTTCGGAATGCTCAGGGCTGGCTTCATCTGGCTTATCGCAATGGCCTGGGCGAAAGGCAGGAAGCTGGGATTATTGTGACGTAATACAAGTGTAAACGCTGATCCAAGCTCTATCCGGTGACGCGTAGTCAGTAGGTGTTTACCCACTGAGGAAGCTGGCGGCTTTCGCAATTACGGAACATACGTGGGACAGGGATGCTGCTCGATTTCACATTGAACCCACCTTGGCACATGATCTTTTATTTGTGAAGAGGTCGAACATCCGTCATTTACTTTGCACCTCATGCTTATTCGGTCACATGCATATTTAAATATATATTCTCATACCTCTGATAGTTAACGTTACTGAGGTGACGATACGAAATGTAGCATTTACCAGGTTACTTCTTCTTACCGTGCTTGTCAAATATTTTCGACTTCACACATAATCATTTAGAGAAGGTATCCAATATAACTCTTACCCGCCAGCGATCTTAGGAACAAGTTCTAGAATTCAACTGCTTTGTGTCACCTAATATGTATGCGAGGACATTAATTGCAGCAAACTGAGGCACTTGCAAAAGCAACGTCTCACTGTTCCGTCTACAGAAATGCAGTTGGCTGGTTTAAGGTGGAAGCGGTGGATATATTTTGCATTCAGCTTCGCAATTACAGACCCATATACAGCGGTGCGCCTGCTCAGCGGACGCTTAAACGTACCACGTTGATATATATTAATCTTATACTTTTACCTAAGTTTGCTATGGAATTTTTAAACAACCGCTTGCATTACCAGTTATAAATTAAGGATATTTAGTCCGAAACTAAAAACTGGTTTTTGTTTCGACCTCATAACGAATGGGCAACAAATTCGTCAAATGGCCACACGAATAAAAGTTATATCATTCTGTAAGTATCCTAGGTTTCTCTCATGCACACTATCGACATTTTATTTGTGAACGCAGAGTGGGTATGCAGAGTATATACAAACCTTATTCCCAGTGCTATCATCTACTTAAAAGCAAGCGCAGTACTCGGTTCCACCTCGCAAATTGCAGCCCGCTTGTCTGCTGATTAGATACCGTTTTGCTGTTTAATTATTGCGTAAGACATAATCACGAGGTGGCTGCACATTCAGGAAAACGGTAGCTGTGTATATATGTGTGTCGATATGACACTGACTACATTAAACCACAAAAGCCAAACGCCATAAGAACGCATCATTATTCAAAGCAATTTAGGTTGAAAGCATTATAGCTCATTTACTATAATTAATAAATAACACAGACGGAAAACATTTTGTCCGGTTCGTTTTACTCTTGCCAATACTTTCCAGTATGGTCAAATTGCTCATTTTCATTTTTAACCATTTAACACCTGCCTGATGGAAATTATTGGGCGTCTACTGGTTTAAGAGCAAAGATTTATTCACCAGTCTTAAAATACGTTGAAGTTTAAAGTAACGTGAACCGATTTATAAGGAGCAACAACAAGGCAAAATAGCATACAATTACTTGACCCTTAAATTACAGAGCAAAACACCCTCATAGCCATCGAGGTTATCATGTGAAAAACGGTGGCACTTCTTATCGATTTTTGCAGAGGTCAACTTACTTTGCTGCATATATTTTCAAAGATGGTCTGATGTTATTCTACAGAGAATGGATGTAGAGGCCAACGGAACCAGACTAAAAATTGCTCAGCATTTGTACGGTAGTTAGAAAGCCCCCGGCTGTTTAGCGCACATTGTGGTGTGCAACTAAATGTACTTCCTCAATATGTACGTGTGTACCACGCTGTGCCTAGCACATGCTGGTTAACTAGACGTTGCGTTAAGGACTGGACTATAGCTACTGCGGTTTCTATATCTACAAATATGAAGTCCCATAATATTTTTAGCGTTGAATCAGTCACTTTGTGCATGGCAGTCAAGAATCATCCAAAAAATGTTTATCTGTCCTTTCGCTTAGCTGTCCTAAGCGAAATATTTAGGATTTTTTCATATAGCTTACTAGATGCAGAACCATGCGCGGTACAATTGGGTGCGAATGCCACTGTTAGTGCTTTAATTTTCAGTCCCTGAGATGTAGGCAACCTAGAAACGATAGTTAAATTTAATGCCAATCCCCGGACAACACTTGAAATGGGGTAGAGGAAATAGCTAATGGGGCTTGTAACGACTACGTAGCACGGGTTAAACTATTTCATGAGAGCAGACAGTAAGACTGTAGGCTAAAGAAGATATAGCATTCGCAAGGTTTAGAAAGCAAATGAAACGTAAACGCTAGTTAACTTGGTGCGAAATGTTTAATTAAATTCAGTGAAAGTTGGATGGATTGATATTTTAGAAGGTATTACTAAAAATGGATCTTTCGCTGGTTTCCTGCAATCTTCGTTATTTTACAAAACCCACAAGTAACAGTAGATATGTTACCTGTGTGTTACAGTTGTATTATGGAGACATAGAGCGGGATAGTAAAGTGCACGTGTACGAAGTAAGTCAACCAACTGTCATTTCATACAGTTAGGCTCGAATTCAAGCTGAGCAATCAACAAGGGACACATATGAATGGAATAGCAAATACTGCGACCATGCATATATCTATACTGCAGCATAGTAATTGCTGAGATAAGTTTTAGTTTGTATTAATGCTGAACTGCGGTGAGGATTCGGCACAATCACGTAGGTCCTACCGAAACGATAAGCCACTATCAGTTGCCTCGTAAACTACAGTAGTCTCTACTGGATATACGAATCGCCTCTGTCTCTGCTTGTATGGGAGATTGTGCTGTTCACCGATGTCATTAAAAGCATTGCGTCTAGGCTGCATTCGGTGCAGTGTGAACCGATTTACTAATTTCTGTAAAGCTTTAGTTGCCCATTTAATTTAGTTGCGAACCTGTACACTGGGTGCCTGTCGGATAATGGAGGTCTGTTTGTCGAAACGCCTATCACAACAAACTAGTGAGTTGGATATCATGTTTCAATACCTGTACGGTTTGTTTAAACAGCCCAGATCATCCTAAAACAACGCATTTAGTTCGTTGTTGACAAAATAATGCTGATGTACATGCGTTCCTTAGCGGTATGAGTGACATGTTTGGTTGTCGTATGAAACGTAACTTGCATTTACTCATGTTAAAATGCATTATGTTTAGAAAACACTTCCGATCTACCGTGTTTACTACACCCTGATGGAGATGCAGGTTCGGCCGGCAGCTGAATCATGATAAAATTGTCGAAGGTTTACCCAAGCTAGGTTATTAATATACTTCAATACAAATGTGTACCTTCAAATAGTCCATGAGACACACTATCCTCGGCTTGCATGGCGATAGGTAATCAGCGCAGAACACTGACTACTATTTGCTGGTGTAGCAGAAAGTTGGTGACCCGGTTGTTTTAAACAAAACCAATGCTACTTCATTAATCGTTATTTACTACAGCAGCTGCTAGGGTTAAACCCCAACTTAAACTCGGCATCATTCGCTGTCTCTGGCACCACTGCAATTAAATCTAGATGAGCTTATAAGTACTTTCGCAGAAGGTGAGGGTTAAGAGTGGAAACGAGATACTTGCATGTAGACATAATGTATGACAGCAAGCACCCGATGAATGTTCGCAAAAGCTAATCATAACATGACGGGGCTCCCTAACAGTTTCCTCATCAAATAATGGGTCTACGTAATTACACCCTAAGTATAAAATACTACATTATTCAATAGACACAAAAACAGTTAGCTTTAGATGTATATTTACGAATGGAAGCAAATGCGTACGTATTAGATTTGTATGCAGTACATTCGACAAGCAATACGCAATAGGTATATTGCTGTTAATGTTAACAAAGATGCACTTATTAATTATGGGATTAAGAAGTTAAGAAAGGCACGATGTTATTTTGGCTTGTGCTCTACCCTGCATTCTAAGCTAATACAACTTCCATATCAATTTGTCTTACTATGTAATACCCTTATCTTCCGTAGCAATGGCCACGTTGACGAGACACAAATTTTTACTTTCCATATTCAGTTCTACCACAAGTTGCTGCTGTACCTCCCAAATGGATGCCCGCCCTTTTTGTACTGTTACAATAGCTCTTCCATAGTCGGTAAACATCATGGTGATGTAGCATTTCTTTATCAGTTCGATCGCTAGCGAGGTGAGCTGCAGGGGAGCAAAAATAAGAAGGTGAGATGAGCCCTCTTCTTAGTTATTACCAGCGAAGTCACATAAATGCAATTTTTAACTATTTTATGTGGCTGGTTATCAATTAACTTATTTTTAATAAATGCGAGCAGGGCTTTTCAAATACGTACCTTTTCGCAATATTTTGCCTTGGATATATCACGTTGCGGTGTTATACCAAGTATTGACGTTTTGAAAATCAACACAAATTCTGGTAAGATAGAAAAAATAAGGTATACATGCTTAGCAAATCGTGAATTAATTTTGTGAACTATAAGGAACTTTAGGTAAGCTACAATGGGTTAAACCGTAGCTCAACTGTAGGTATGCTAATATGAAGTCATAGAGAACTAATTATTTTGACTTCGATCGATTGAATGTAAGTGGAATTAGCTGCGCTTACAATTACCAAAGGGTTTACGTAGTCAAACGGTTTCTGGCTTCACTTACTGTAATCCATTACTTCCGTACATACTTCAGAGGGAACTGAATGAAAACGGTGCAAGTGGTAGTTGATGAATATCAGTTTCGCAAGCGTTACACGTGTCTAATAATTCGTCACCAAAAGTGGCATGAATTTCTTGAACATCCAATATGGTCTTAGCTTATAGGGACGACGACCGCATTAAGCTTACTAGTTCTACTTGTTTGCCTTCGTTTGGTTGTGCGTGTGAACTAACAAAGCAGTCAGATTGCTCCAAGAGAAATGTTTAGCAAACTAGATAAGGCATGAACGCCAAAGTGTAACAAATTAAACGTATGCCAGCGTTTAAAACTGCAGGTTGCCATTTCAATTATTAATTTATATTTTCACAGTTTAGAAAGTCTGAACAATTCTGAAGATACATTTGTTACCGACCATATGAAAGCACTGCACCAGCTTTTACCTGCAATATTAAACGGCCCTGTTTTTAGCAAGCATAGTAAAAAGCTCATGATTACCTAGCGTTATGCTTAACAGGCTTGTGGTTTTAAATTTTAGGACACACCATATCCAGGAGATCTAAACACCATCTTGGCTTCTTAATTTATGCGGCGCGTAAAAACAAGAGGGCAGCAAGCTGCATCATTGCCAATTATGCACTGAAACAAGTGTGGAAGATACGTTATTCACCTTTCGTAGTTAGCTTCATCTAATGCATGATATTGCGCCGGATGACACATAAATAAGCGGATGACAAATGTACTTGGAACAAACTCATGATGGAGAGGAGTTATTTCCCACGAACTCAAGCACACGTCCTGCACGTGAGCGAAGCCGGGTGCTTTTTGTGATATTTACACTGGGCATTATGTTTTATCAAGCTTTTCTATACAGTGAGCCACAATTAAGCAGTCTGATGTCACTCAGATTGTAACGCCTGATTATTTGCTGGTTGTTTTAGGTGCAAAGTAAATCTGCTTGATAAATTAGCGATTCACGTTACTGAAGAGCATAAATGGAAATAGGGTATTTTATCTATGCAATTATTGTAGGCCTTATCATGTCAATGGAAGGCTGCTCCCACACGATGTTTCCTAGGTTACTACTTGTTCACACTAACCGCCAAGTGACAACACAGTACTAAAACCATGCTCTCCGCCACCAACAGATTACTGGACACCATGATTTGCGGGGCAGATTCTTAATGCTTTTAATGCAATAACTCATTAAAATGATTGACAATATATACGTGATGTGCGCTATTAGACCCAGTGCATGCGTATGGAATGGGCTACTTTGCAGAACCGAATAATATGTTCGGACCAACTTATGTAACCTATATAACACGACTACGCAAAGAAACTTCTTTTCTATACACCTCAGTCGACGTTCAAACTTTTAGTGCAAAAGTAGAAAATCGGTTGGCTAATAAATCCTAGATCAAGTTAGAAAGAGCCACCAATATACAAAACCTATTGGGCCATCATTGTTCGTTAACAACCGTTGCTACATTTTTTGTAACATCATTCCGGATAATATATATGACAATGAGTGTTTCATTTGTCTGAGTCTGGTATCCCATTTCAATATAATTTCAAGTACCGAACTATAGAGGTTTCGTGCTGCGGCTTTCCGTAAGGAAACAACGCAGTATTCGTTGACCATTTTACAACGGTGCCTATCACACATTTAAGATACCTTGTACAACAAGTGGAAATGCTTTAATACATTAAAAGTATTCGGACCGGACCAGGGGTCTATCCACTAAGTCTTAAGAAACGTTCGTCACCCAGGTCCGAGGCAAACACAATAATATATGTTATATGATAATGTATTTTATGTTATGTTATATGTTATATTATAAAATAATATATTTAAAATCGACTGACGATGGTAAGAACCTTGCTTTTATCTTGGCCATAACAGCACCCCGGTGAGGAGGAATCATTTCAACATTGACTGGCAACCAGCGTGTGTCAACTCAGTGCTGATTACTCTCCCGTACCGTGTGTGAGTTTTTCATGCGGCCTACTTCGACCAAATAATGCACTGCCCAGTATCAAGATATGCCAAGGCAATAGATTGTGTGATTTGCGTGGTTCCTTCAATTATAAACTTGGCCTTCAGCAGACAATCAGCTTTTATTGTTACATAATTTTAAATAACTGATAAGGTTTATCGGAAACAATGATCGTTGCACAACCGTGAACATCATATGTCATATTAATTGTTCCGAGAAATGTATATATACTCTTATCCGAGTAAGAATTATCCTAGGTAAATTACTGCGGTGTTTTGTGCGGCTTTCGTTTCAGAAGTTCTTGAGGTACTTGGTAAAGTACTTGAAAGCTATTTCGTTCTATCGTAAATTGTGACCGTTACACAGTGTTAGTAGATGGTTGCTACTGGTGCAAATGGCATGTAAGTGGGTGTTTAATGCTCACCAAGGGGAAGAAATAGCACTATTGTTAGAAGTGCTTTTGCTGCTTTTTGAACAAATGATAACCTTATTTGGCAATAGTTTATATTAGTTACACATTTACAGAGGTTAAATACAGCTACACACGTTGGCTTTTTGATATCTTACTTAGAGTTACGGAAACGAATGGAACACAAACATCAACAAATATTAATATTGCCATTTGCTTTCACCATTATTTGCATAGGCTGCTTTTGAAATTACTTTCTTCTCCCCGTTCTTTAACTATATTACCAAATAAACAATTTAAGCCTTGGTTTTTGCCTAAAAGGATTAAATTATACAGATGATCTACAAATTTTTATTGGTCCATTATCTTTGGGTCAGTTTGCATTTTTAGAATATCTATTCAATGTTAGATGCAACATTAGCAAAAGCATTGAAAGTATTGAGGAATACGTTGTGCAATGCAATGCAATGTTGCTAAGTACGTTACGTGCGTACCATAGGAAGCTGTCTGTGTTCGTACTTGTACAGAAAAAATGCATTGGTACCCCCGCCACATCAACCTGTTGGCTAGCCATAGTTGAACTTGTTCCATCGTATTTCGCTCCTCCCATTGAAATGGCATTAATAAATTTAGCTTCGCTACGAAGTTCGGAGGATTTAGAACGGTGTCGTCGTAGAATTCCAGACGGCATTTCGTTTTGGGCTGCAATAAATTGACGTATCAATTAGGTTAATCGATGCTAATCTTTCAGGTTAATGTACGTATTTTTATCCAGATGTACAAATATACGATTTTGACAATTAGCCTACGCATAGTTAGGATATATCCATTTATTCTTACTAGAACAAGATTTTGGTGAAATGCTGCATAGAATTCCCAAGCGAATCACTTACTTTCAAAGTTTCGTCAACGGTCTGCGTAGATAAATGTACAAAGCAAGAAATGTTCTGGGTACAATTAGTTATTGTTGCTTTGCACAGAAACATGGTATAAACTGAGGGTGGAAATTGGGTGTTGTCCGACAGAACACACCCTAGTTTAGTGCGCGGCTGGTTGTTGCTTCTTTTGAGCAGATGAAGATAGCAGGCCTTTATCCAGTGACCTATGGGGTATTGGTCAATACCGCAACCCTTAAGTCACTAAGGCAAGAAGGGCAATGCTTGGCACAACGGTTAATGGCTGCGTAGATTGTGACTTTTTGAAGTGTACTTTATGTATGTGGATTGCGTGCCGCAATCTCAAAGGTGACCGCCATTCCCAATTGACGTGATCTTTGGTCATTTGAGTGGTAGGACCGTCGCTTTTTTGCAGAAGGTAACTAGGTGTTGGCAGCCGAAATACACTGCACCCATTGGCGCGTTTCGAACTATCTTCTTTCATCAGATATTGATAACAGGTATCATACATTAGACCATTACAAAATTAGTCGTGAACGCTAACACATATTCATTGGGTCAAAACGGGCTACGCTGGGAGCAAAGTCTAATGATTGACTAGTGTGTGTCGTTGATTGAACTACACGCTGTTTGCTTAAATAGCGACGAGCTACCTCCATGTAATTAGATAATTCTTTCTTTTTTGACTAAGGCGAACTACCGACCAAGTGCGCATGAAACAAACTTAACTGCCCCTCATCCAAACTGTGTGTTGATTATTGCGTTAACATAAGCAGTGTCCATCAGCCATTCACTAATCTACTGATCATCTGCTGACACACTGTACATACTTACATTATAACTATTTACCACAAAGTATAAGAAAATTGCTTAGCAGTAGTTAAGATATTCCTAATCAAAGCGCAACCGAGAACCACTTTCCACCTTACCTAATAATTGATTAGGAGCTGCACCGTTTCGCAAGCATTAGCCGTTTTTACTATCGATGGAATTCTATATTGAAAGCCCAGCCTATATAAATAAACAATATGTTAGACATAGGCATCGGTACTCTATACACGAGTTATGCGTAAATGGTCTTTTGCATTTTAATCAACGTGGCCAGCGAGTCATCATTAAAGATAAAGTGCATCCGTTCACTCTTAAATTCAAATGGGTCGACCCAATTGCTTGTTTAGGTACCTTGGAAAACAGTTTACTTCGTCTATGAGGAAAGCCAAGTGGAACGATTAAACAAAGGGCTTTAGCTCCATACAGTGTTAACTAAAGGGTAAGAGATGGCATCATAGATTTCGGATCAGTTGCGATCACCTACGTCATTTTATCAGTAGGCGCAAAAGTCAGCGTTAGTTATGCAACAGGATTTGTATCCAACACTCATATATAATTGCACTCAACTGCTTGATAAGTAGCTGAAAACATATTGCAAATCCGCGACGAACATCAGCCAATATTTTGGCTTCGAAAAGGTATTCCCTCCTAACAGTAAACACATTAAATTTCACCAACGCATGGACTTTACAGCTTAGTGTAAACTATTTTGCAGTGAATAAGTCCATTACATACATTCTCCAAAAGATAGCCCAAACTAATAGTTATATGTGTTTATTAGTTTATGCAATCAAACGTGGAAGTACCTTTTTAAAAAACTCCGCACAGAGGTTGACGTATTTTTGGTTCACTAGCACGATTATGTCCACATCTTCAAAGCAAACATAAATGGTCAAATACCATGCGGAATAATCCTTTGCAAAAGTAAGTAATAAATACTTAGTTGAATGAACAACTGATAGTTAATTTTAAGCTTTTACTCAGGGCAAAATAGTTGAAATATTTTTAAGATTTCAGTTAATATACGCAACAAAACAAGCTATGTAAAACAACGGAAATTTGCGCATAGGCTGAATAAAAACACAATCGGTGAACCGGACAACAGGAAAACTGCAACTCACATAGCACTTGGTTGTTAATTGCTGCTAGAGGAATTAAGTCGCATGTAAATTTAATTGCCAATCATTTACTATATTTTAAAAGTAGTTAAATTTGCATTCATACCTATTTGTTGTAATAAATTGAAGCATGCAGATAAAGTGAAGGTTCAGCTTTTATCAGTTATTTAGACATTTGAGTGGCTATGGATCATTTGTTATAACCCGAGTAAAGGTAGGGTTACTCTGAAGCACTCATTGTGTGAATGCTTCGTGAAGCCGAACATCCATGTAGTCGCTATTCATGCTGTACTGAACCCTTGATGGTAACACTGGGAATGTAAATCAGATAGAACCTGTGTTGCCCACCCTAAAACAACACACGAACTACAGCGTTTTAAACTCAGCTGATATCATAAGACTTCAAACCTAAATACGTTACCATGTTAAATATCAGATAAACGGTATTATTTTCCTGATTGCAACCATTGTGCATAAACAGTAGTAACAAATATTAAATTTTTGTTGTTTCATTTAAGATGAATTAAAGTAGCTTAGGTAAAAGCCCGCACTCACATAACTGCTTTGGCCAATACATTCCAACGATTTGTAGATTTATTGCTTCTGAATCGTAATCGATCTTTTTGAGAAACCGCGCTGGACCACTCCAGTTTTCAGGAAATTCCCAAGTGACCTTTTGCTCGTTCTGATAACTTGTGATGCAAGTATGTACATTAGCCTCGCGTGGCATTGGCAGACAACTTGTGACCACCTTGACCCCCGTTTCGTTGGTGACACTGAAAAACTATATCCCACATCGGACAAAAGGCAGTAGGATAGCAGTATGTCCATATCAGGGAATCGGCATACCGTAAGGGAAACTAATTTATGAAACACACAAGGTATTGAATACATAAATAGAGCAACGCGATATAGTAAATAAAAGCAGCGAATATAAACCTTTCCTACATTACAACATTGTATAACCGCGGGCAAAAATTCAAACGGTTTAAAAAGCAAAAGCATTATGTAGTGTTAACCGTTGTTTAAAAAGCGGTCCACGAAATTAACACGGCTCTATGGTAATTTGATTTACGGATGCAGGATAATCTTAAAAATTTTGCAAAGCTGCACTCACAAGACTGTTCACAGTTTCCTCTGGATTCGATTCATTGAAAATTTTTATTTCAAACTCTGCAAATTTAAAGCGAATATGAGTGGACACAAAAACCGACTTTGTTAGTACATGCGTTTGTGGGTTGACCGTTGTAAGTGTAGATCAGCTTCTTTATTCTCGACAAACAAACGCATTGAGTTTATTTTTTGATCATGGTCAAACCGAGACTTAAATCTACCAGCAAACTTTTACGCTTTGTTGACACATGGTTTGGCAAGCAACGTTTACGATGACAGCAACAGTGCTTACTGGAAACAAAACATCTCAAATAGCTCATTGGTCGGCAAACCAAATGGCTGTCTTAACAACTTTGCTTCGTTGTAGATTGCCAAGCGTGTAGTAAATGCACTTATATTTATGTGGTTGCTGGATACATTCGGAGATATTTGCTCTTTCCACTACTGTGAAATATTTGGCCTAGTATATTGGCCATATATCTCATCCTTACGCCAAGTAAACATATACGAATACCCTGAAGACTACACAAAAGTGCAGTTAAAATGACAATGTCATTAACAAAAATAAATAGGTAGTGAGCAGGTTTTATAAATCTATTGGATGTGGTGCAGGCACCATGGCTAAAGTACCCTAAAAACCAAATGGACAAGCAGCTGTGATTTGTCGTGAAAACGAGTCTCCAATCACACGCAGTACTTGTTCACATAAATGTTGTACAGATACTACTGAAGCAGTTCCTATCGCTATGGTCATTAAGCAAGTAGCAGGTAGACAGTGTGTTTAGGCCAAAATATTCCGCATTTACAAAGAACCTGTTGTACTAGGGACAATAAATTTGGAAGAGTTTGCACTCACCAAATTGCCCTTGCTTGACGCAACCCACTACAAGTACAAATGATTAATTAAAGGATTTCAGTGGACGACAAGTGTACGCACATATTAGCGCGAATAGATTAGGTGTTCGTGCTGCATTTTACATAAAGTTGCTTCGTAACATTTCTATTCTATTAAACAAATACACCATCAAATCGTAAGGTCTGACCTGCAGATGAAACCTACTACACGCAATTTATTTTATTTGGGCATTGAAGTGCGAAGTGTAGAACAGATAATATGTCACATTGCTATGCAGTTTAAACTCACGTTCTTTGAACTTGTTTTGGGAAATCGAAGGAATCGCTCTTGATTCACTGATCTGTAATAGCTGTCCATTTACTTGTGTGGAATCATCGAGTAAACACACACAGGTTAACTCCTCTTCTCTCGAATCGTAAAGCCACTTGTGTAAGCGGCAACGTCCATACGAAGTATAATCCAACCGTAAACGCTAAGTGATGCAAGGTTACAATAAGCAAATTACGTTTATTCTAATTATTGCGAATACCTGTATTTGGGGTGTCGATGAGTAGTTGATGGGTTCACCGGCCTTGGCATTGTTGTCAAAGCCTTTTCATTGCCAAGCTAAGCAGTATCCTCAAAACTGTTGTTAAGTACTCATACACTGAACTTCGTAAGCCAGTGCATAACCAGGAAACGATCAAAAATCACTTGGATCTGGCATTGGCTTAAGAGGATCTGCGGATGAGACCATAATAACCGCACTCATGATGTTGCTCAGCTAGGCAATGAAACCATTGCAACGATGTTGCTCAGTCGGGAGAACACATAAACCCTCTTCGATTTTCCTATGTTATATAGTAACCAGATACTGAGATAGAGTAAGCATTTGCACAATAGGTATATTAAGTTTTACAGCTTACATAAGTCAAGCGATCAAAATTCGAAATTGAATACTAATGCCCTTAAAATTACAGGTACATTTAAATCACTGTAGAACAGAATGGGATGGCGAATTTTCATAATTAAAGAAATACTAACTTGATTTATGCAGGATAATTCCATACTTTTTTTCCACAGTCATATTGTTATTTCTTTGCAGCGTTGCTCTTGAAACCGCAACTGACAAAAGATCTTGAGGGATAGATAGTTTATCAACAACTCCGAAATAAAAGAAGCACGCCTCTGTGATATATAAATGTGTATTTATATTAATGTATATTGTAATATTTAACAGTGCTATTTGTTGATAACAAGCGCCATTTGTAAGTAATTTATAAATGTACGTTTGACTGTTTTGGAGGTAGGCTGCTGAGAATAGTTGTAATAATGATGGAGCTGATTTGCTAAGCTTACATGTACTAGAGTTTTAGCGCACCGGTGTTGCGCAAAGCAAGAAGCAATCCTTAAATAATATTGGTAAATGGGAGAGTTCCCTAATTATGGGGTGCTTTTTTCTGTATTTAACGACAGAACTCCAAATGTGTCATGGAAGTAATTTGTCGTTTGACTACCAACCGCAGCTTTTAATTAATAAACTGTACTGAATATATTAGATAGCCAGATTAACTATTGACCTGCATTAGACACGGAACTGAGCTAGGGGCAATGGATATTATGGTTTTGTGGTACAACACATTAAACGTGATACTTCGCGCCAGCGAAAACATGTTTGTAGTTAAGCAACACACTTAAACACGCACTTCTTACGTAGGACATCTAAAATAATTGACGCGTAGCACCTAACCTAATTATTTACAAAGCGCGATTATGAATGATTACATGAGATTTTTTCAAAAATATTTATAAACATACCGCAGCTGACATCAAGTAAGCAGGTTATCAGGCAACAGATAAAGAATTTTAACATCATTGTATTGATGCTGCGATGCTGCCACGACACTTTGTTACAACTGTCGTATTTAGTAGCATTATACTTATATACGGTGTTGTATGAAACAGAGCAAATGTTAACCAATCATAAAACAGATCAAACGGATAGCCAGTGGTTGGAACCACCTGTGTCTATCTGAAGGGTCTGTATTTAGGCAAGCATTTCACTCGCCTTTGTTTGTGGAATTATTACTGCAAAGCACTTAATGAGTCCGATATTTAGCTAGGTAGATTATAGATTAACTTTGGACAGGAATAATACAAGCACCAGGCATATTAGAACTTATTCAAAGTAACATATCACTTTCGTGCAATTGCCTTGCTTTAAAATTTAGTAAAGCTCGCCGGACACCAGCAATGCGAATTTATGGACGTTGCATTTTAAATGATCATGTAACGTTAACCAGCTAGAACCATTGCAGCTGCCACTCAGCCATTCCGTAGCACAGTAAATCACATAGAGTCGTTTTACTCACGCCTCGAAGGAAAGCGTAACTTGTGTCCATTTGAATACCAGCTATATATTTTCCTCGCTAGTTGGATTAATCCCGGTGTTTGCTTCCGTTGTTCCCAAACCCATAACCTGTAGTACGCATTATAATAATCCGTTAATGAACTTAAATCATCCTTCACATAAATCAACCTATGGAACTCAAAAGATAATTGATGTACACCACGATTGGCATGTAACTTTAGTCAACCGATTATCATGTATCGTACCTAAGACAATTAGAGACAGAATGTTGCCAGCCGGAAAAAGGATTATTACAACCGTTAGTTAGTTGAACTATTGTTATCTTTAAAGGTTAATTGTCTATATTTCCTTAACAAATATGCTCATATCAGCTTTAGAAAGGTCAAGAAAACGCCCAGGGAATTTCATGCTCACCATCCGATCTTCGCCTATTTAAGACGCTCAAAATTCTTGGCGCAGGGTACATTCTAAAGAAATCCGAAGGTAGATTGGTTAAAGCACATCAACGAGTACATAAAACCTTCAAGCCAATCGCTTTGTTTTAAAGAAGGTTTAATTAACCAGGGTTAAATTTAAGTTTGGGGTTAATGCGTCATCACCATAATCAACAGCAGTACGTCGGCCATTTGAACTGATGCTTCGCTTCGTTACAACCATGATGATCTATGAAATAAAGGATAATAAGAGGGAGAGAAAGAGAGCTTACTTGAAAATCTTAATGTTCTAAGCAAACATTCGGGGTCAAGGCGGCTACGCCTTGTGTGGACAGCACACAGTCACAAACAGCTGGCTATTGTGCAAAGACAAGGAGGAATCGGCGAGAGAGCTTCCTTGCGGCTTTCACTTCCCTGCGTCATAATCATCAATTATCCTGCAGAGTATTCAGCTTCAAACACACTTTAAACAGGCAAGCCGATTAGGAGACGGCAGCAGACGCGCCACTGGTGTTGGTTGCAAGCCATATCCTATAAAGTGTCGAGCCAAGCACAATGTGAGTCACGTGGACTCCAGCCCAGAAGGCGAGAAGGACCAACCGCACCCAGTTTGGTCGTCAGTGTCTTCATTTCCCGTTGCCAAGTCAACTTCTGTCCACTTCGAGCCTTGCGCCATCCTACACCGGTAGACTTGAGAAGGCCCTCCTAGATGACCGGTGAACAGGCATACGTAGCACGTGTCCAAGCCAATGCAATAAATTCAGTGCTATCCGTTGTTCTAAGGCGCTAGCTTAATTATCACTACCAATACTCGCCTACACACATCATCGTTGTGAAAGCGCTGGTGCCGGCCGACACAAGCAATGCTTCGCAGACAACGATATTCAGAGAAATGAAGGAGCCTCAGATATTCAGACCGAATGAGCCAAGTCTTGCTACCATAGGGCAGAGCGGCCCTACTCTTGCCTTGTATACGTGGCCCTTCAGACGGAGGAAATGGCCTTCTGTCGCCAAAGACACCGCAGGTTCAAGAAGGCAGCTCTGACCTTTGCAGTGCGTGAGCTAACGTCCGTTTCTCTGCACACATCATTGCTGATGCAGCTGCCAAGATAAGTGAATTGATCAACCACCTCGAGTTCTTCGTTAGCAAGCGTCAAGGGGTCATCAAGTGGCTGGTGGTCCTGCAGCTACACGTTGCATTTTGAAGGCGCGGAGTGCATAACAAATAATGGTACCACTCTGGATAGGCTATCCTGGGTTGATTGTGCCCGCCCCAACCTAGTCGAAAAGGAAGACGATATCGTCCGCATAATATAGGTCAACTAAGCTTCTACCACGCAGCACTTTAACGCCTACATCGTTGGATTCCGCAAGTGAACACTCCATGATAGAATCCACGACAAAATTGAGCAGAAATGGGGAAATTGGACAACGATGACGAACGCCACTTGTTGTCGGAAAGCTATTTGATGGGACACCATAGATCGTGACGCGGCCTGTAGGGTTCGAGTAAGAAGCACAAGGAATATTTACATATTTCGTAGGAACCCTATTCGCGCGAGCATTACGAACAGATTCGATTGATCGACTGAATCGAACGCACTCTTTAAATCCAGGAACGCAGCTATTGTCGGTCTGCGGTATGCGTGTTGTTGCTCTAGCACCTGCCGCAAAGTAAATATATGTGGTCTATACAGCCACGTCCTGGTCGGTAACCGGCCTGCTGTTCCTTAATTGGAGATTCCCGTTCCACAGTAAGGCGACGAACGATAAGCGAGGCCAATAATTTTGTCACAATTGGTTAGAACAGTCTGTGCGACTGCCCTTCTTGTATATTGCCACTATAATCGATTCGCTCCAATTAGCCGGAACACTTCCTTTCAGATACATTCGAATAGTGTGGTCATTGCTTTGCAGAGGACCTCACATCCATCCTTAGATAGTGCAGGTGGGAGGGAATCTGAGCCAGTGGCACGAAAACGCTTGATGTCTTTGATCACGTTTCGGATCTCGGCCTCCGACAGAGGCCCTAAACTAAACATCCATGGCTCCTCCTTCTTTACCAGAGTATAAAGAGGTTCCGGAGCAGGTGACCAGCTGAACTGCTCTTGAAAGTGTTCCGCCGAACGAGCCATACGGCGCCCTATATTTTGTATCGGTGCACCTGCGCGGTCTCTGGTTGTCTCACTGACGCCTGGTTTTCTGGGAACAGTGGAGCGGATTAGCTAAAAGAGCTTCCGGTA